TCTACTTATACCTATTCTTTGTTTTTTAAAATGTCATACTCGCATCTATAACGCATGGGTTGGCCCGTTTCATTTGAATCTTGATAGTTTTATTGAACATTGGAAAATCTATAGTGGTGATCTAGAAATAGAACGATCATTTCTAGTTGGTTTATTTTCATTTGATAAAGAATATCTTCAAATTGAACTTGGTGAAAATCAAATTGATAACGATACATATAATATGTATTTTGTTTACTTTCGTCACCCTATGTATAACCAATTGTTATATACATTCAATCCAATTAAAGAATCAAGTATTACTAATCTATCAAAGAAATTATTCGTTAAATTACCAACATATTTAACGTCTCATTTTCATAAACGTCTTCCTTACCGTTTTGAACAATTTAATAGTAATACATTAAAATGTATTATTCGACAGCTTGATATTTCATCTGAGGTAGATAACATTAAACTTATGAAATCAATGCATATAAAAATAATTGAAGAAATATATGATCAAAATGCTACTGAATTCAATATGAAAGTTATAAATCAATGTGGTATTCTACTCGGATATTTATATGATTGTCAAAATGAAATAGTATTTAGTCCATCGTCGAATCAGCGATACAAATTTTCTGATTTTGTTGCAGCATTCGATGCTTCGTCATCCTATTCACCTTATATGAGTTATTTATTCGGCGGTCTCTTGTTCTTATGGATTTTGATAACTGGTCTTGCATTGCTTTTTCATTTTCTTCGATATAGATTCAATAAAATTAAACTATTAGTTTTTACTGACCTTCAAAACACATTGAACATGCACAATATTAGATCTATTCAAAATCTTGACTATCTATTGATGAGTACATCAAACGAAAATAACTATCATAATCGATTGTTTATTGTGCAAAATCGATATTTAATTATTTTTAAAGTCAATCTAAACGAACGTTGTCAAAGTATTTTGCATCAGTTTTATATGGTAGTACCATTCATTATCATTGATATTCAAACTATTACTGATATTAGCACATATTTCATTTCGGTTTCAATAGGAAATTATTTAGAACGCATTCCATATCCTATTGTTGTAAATAGGAATACCTATTATGAACTCGAATGGCTTCATCAACGCTTGATGTATTACAGTGCGAAATATCGCTATTCGTAAGTTGTTTTATTCGAGTTTGGCAGCCAAATGTTAACCATCTTTTGTATTCCTATTTCAGTTATGAACTAGAACAATTACGTCAAAGACAAGAAGCTATTCGTACTCGAGAAGAACAAAGACGGTATCGCTTGGCCTTGTTTATCGAGGAAGAAGAGAGAATACAAAGATTGAATCAAGAAGTTGATTTTGAACAAATTTGGAATCGTGTACCGTCGGCATCGCCTCGTTTTATTGCAAATTTTCGTCTTGAAGATCCCAAAATAGTTAATAGTCAATTATGTGAAACAAATTGTAGTATTTGTCTCGAAACATTACAACCAGATGAACATTATTCTCAATGGCCATGTCCAGCTCAACACGTTTTTCACTATAACTGTATGCTGAATGTCTTGCGAAGACAAAATAGTTGCCCTTTATGTCGACATTTAGTCGAAGCGGCGCCTCTGCCATCGTTAGATGTTGTTTGGAGAAATTTTTTATTCAGAGTGGCTTCACGTGTGGCTAATTAGCGTAAACTCACTAATATTCTCGTTTTATCAATTCACTTCTCAAAGTTTCGTTCGTTTTATTATTATTAAATACTTTCTGAATAAACTCCTCTTAGAAATCATGATTTCAGCATCTCTATGACCGTCGGCCATTCTAAATGTCATCGCTTCTTATTACTTAGTGACTGTCACAGGAATGGATTAGTCATACTTTGAGTTGACTTTTGACGAAGACAAGTTAGGGTGTGGGTGGGGTGTGGGGTAGGTGTTGGTGAGGAAAAGACTAACCCCGACTCCCACACCCGCAGTTGAAGTTTTCAGATATCTTTGACTTCAAGATTGATTAGAAAACACTCTATAAAGAGAAATATTCTATTGAAACTCTGTCTAAGCAAATATCTACCTAGTACGAATAACTTCATTCAGGTTGGAAATGTTTTTTGGTAAGAAATGGATGAATGTGATAACAACCTACCAATAACTAATCTATTGATATTTCCTCGTGATTTTGCGGTTTGACAAAAGTTATGGTAACTCTGTGAGTTTGTTGAACATATTATATTAGTCGAAATAGTTTGAGACATATTTTAGAATAAGAAAAAGAAGCAGAGGTTCCATTTGATTTTTTTCAAGAAGTGACTATTTTACATTAGTAATGTCCTTTTTGTTCTTCTATAGCATTGAATATTGACATAGGAATCTTATTTTATTTGTAGGGCATTATTTTTCTATTTATTGTACACAGACATTATCTCAAATTTGAAAGTTAAATCAGTTCTGAGCAAACTTCAAATGAACTAGTATTGTAAACTATGATCACTATTTATGATAAAAATATGAGACTTTCTTCTTTCATATATAGTCATCAATATAAAAATCCTTGTAGATTCGAATCTATCCACAATGTTAACTAATTCTTCAATAATATTTTTAATAAAAACCAAATGACGAAAGATGTCACTAAGATTTTATTTTTTTGACAAATCTTCTCTTTATATAAGTGAAATTAATTGGACTTTATTTGATTATTACTCTTATCAAACAGAATATACATTTATAATATTGTTCACGATGCTATTGAAAATGCCTTGACGAATAACAACCATTGGAAAAAATCCAACAAATGTATGACTAACTCCGAAGAATGAAAGAACAAGGCAACATACATACAAATGAGTAATGCGTCGAGTTCGAATTTACAATTACACATTTTTTTTTTCTTCCTTTTTTGCTTATACTATAAATATAGAGTGTAGTGAGAGCAGAGTTGAATACATAGTAATAGTTACGTTGCAATCAATGACAGATACATCTCAACTAGTTGATCCAAAGCAAGAACGTATCTATACATTTCATTTTCGTCATTCTAATAAACATGTCGATCTTACTGACGAAGAACTCGATCATTTTCCTTATTTGATTGCTCTCGTCGAGCATAAAAATGATTTCTTATCCGTTGAAAATGAAAATGGTGAATATGTATTGAGTCATTCTATTGAATATCCTTGGTTTATTTCTATTCTTCGTTCCATTAAATCCGAACAACCATATACATTATTTAACGACCTATCTGAAGACAATAATGTGTTGGACACACTTCAACTATTTGATTATCTTTGTATCAATCCATTTCCGTTACCTCTTCTAAAATATGAAGAATTAGTCCGATCAAACCCTACAAATATTGGCAATGATGAAAAACGTCTTGACTATCATCAAGCAAATCTATCAGAAGCACGACAAACAGCTGCAGAGTTCATCATAGCTCTTAGTAAAAATGAATACGATTTACGTAATTCATACACTATCAAACGTATTTTTTCATTGATCCGAGTCATTCTCTCTAATCCAGCTGTTTTTAGCTCACGATTTCGTCATCATACATTAATAGTGGCGAAAGACTCTTGTTATTCGTTCTTTTCTAAGACTCAACGACGTCTATTGCCTACTATTCAACAAATTGATCAACATAGGAAGATCGACGCTCTTATTTATCTATACGACGATGATAAACCTCTTCCTGACCATTTTCAAAATACATTCGCTTGGAGAGGTGTTTATCTGCCAATAGAAGAGAATCCTATGGAGTCTTTATATGAAAGTCCCGCAAAGACATCTTTTTCCAATGGATCGTCTCAAAGAACACACGATCATTTTCATATAAATTATAAGATTTCTGATTTGTCAATGATAAAGCATAGTATAGATTATCTCCTATCTATTTATGACCTGCCAGAATTTTCTATAATTGAAAATGTTGACGACGAAGAGTTACCCATCTATCAATCGAAACAAATTCGAAAGAATAATGAAGCACAACTAGCTCGATCACGACATTTTAAGACATTATCTAAACGACCAAACAATGACAAGTTCAAACATCGATGTGCTCCAAAAGCTCAAAAATACCGATAAAAACTTTTTTCAAAGGGAATATTTGCTTTTTTTTTTATTGCATAAATATAAGTCACGAGAAATATTTTAGAGCCTTTTTTGCACTGACTTACAATTTTCAAAATAAGACTTGTTATAAAAATAAATCAAGAGATTTCTTACTCTTCAATAATATGTCATTTCGAGAATCATTAACTTAGATAACATTTAATATGTACAGATGTGGCTTCAAAAGCAAGAATATGATGCTACTTAAGAAATATATCTTAATAAAAGGTCGATTCCTCAGATGTATTATCCGAAATCTATCTCTACAAAACCCAGTGAGTATGAGTCATTTCATTGAGATATGACACACTATAATAATAGTTGAAAAATTCATTTGATAAGAAAAAAAGTAATGGAGAGATATTTCGTTATCATTTCGCTTCTTATCGAAGTTATTTATATATTTCTACATAGATTCGAGAATTAAGTGAAAGTAAAATGACGTCATTTTATATCGGCTGTTATATTCAAAATAAGAACTCGTTTATATTGAGTTATATCCATATGAATAATTAACATAGCCTGTCTTGATAAATATAAAATGACGAAATTTGTCAGTGAAATATTGATTAAGTATTCTATCGATATATTTATCTACTCGAATCCTATCTCATCAGTAATGGAACATATCAAAATTTGGTAGATTAGAAGATCAAAGCGAATAAGCGTGTACAATATGCGGCACAATATGGAGTTCGCATGGCCACACTTGCATACGGCCTGGTGACTTCGAATTTTGCCTTTACATCGTTTCAATTCAATTTCATCTTCGTTGGTACGGCCATGTACAATTTTGATCTATTTCAAATGATAGATATGCTTCTATCGTCCTCGGACAATGTTCTATTCTTTTATCCGAATCCGAGTTCGAACTATGGTTCAACATGGCTAACCGATGATATCATTCAGACAAATGCCACTCATTTCTATCGACAGACAGACAGCTACAATCTGATATTGTATGGAGATGGAATGATCTATGGTCTAGGAACGATAGTAGTATATAACGGATGTACCTCTATCCAGAGAGCAGAAAATTACTCGATTGGTTTGCTTTTTATCATTATCCAACTTTGTATATTGTGAAATTCTGTTGCAAAAAATTAAGTAGTGTGAAGTTTATGGCTTGATTGTATGTATCCTGCTTAGTCTGTTTTCATATGTGCTGTGAAGAATTAAGTCGAATTTCTTTCAATATGTTGATCTTTTGTCTGAGAGTATTACATTTTTGTTTGCGAAATAAATACTTAAGCAGATGCTTTACATCGATGTTGAATCGTGCTCGCTTTTCTACCTTTTTGCAAAATAGGCTTACTCAGATTTGTTTACAGATGTATTGCAACGTGAATTGCCGTATGAGTATTGCTCGTAAGATATTTTTTTTTGTGTCATCAAGATCTGTGGCAGCGATGGGCAGCGAACATTCGATAGTGTTTTCAGAAGATCTTTCCCTTGAGGGTGAGTTCTAGTGGTCATTATCACGATTTCTTTTATGATTTATGTACATTTCATTTATGAGATCTTGATTGAATAATATAATAGCAGGTTGATAGTTTCGTCTATGTGGTGCTCTTTTTTCATGAAAACACTTTTTTAATATAATAAAAATTTTGCAATTCAGTCAATTTTTCACTATTTGTGTGGAATAAAGCCAATAGTAATAAGTCTTTTTTTTTTGAAAGTACATTATACAAATATTTATTGAAAATGTTTTTCGCTGAACTATTAAAAATCACTATATTAGTTTGACAGATTTGATATTGTTCTGCTCGATGACTCATAGATCTTCATTCACCATTTATCCAACACTTTCGGAACTAAGATGTGTACTTCAACAGTTTTACATACGCATGACTCAATAGTTTTTTGCTAAATGGTATAGATTTATCTGCTGACAGAATGTTTCTGTTTCCTCCTGTCAATATAAATAGATGTGATTGGTTTCATTAGAAAATGAGACCCATTTCAATATGTACTGTTGCGGGAACCCATAGATGTGTTCAGTGTTTCGGTGCTTCTCGCATTATGTTCTTCTTCAAAACAACTTAGTGATCGATATTTGAAAGTTTCTTATCACAGATTGTTTGACTAGCATACTTTTTACAAATAGACAAGGAAAATTTTTCAAAACATGGTCGCAGATTTAGGATAGACAATGGGCAATAACTCTTGATGAAAAACTTTGATTACATAGACAGTGGATATTTTAAGAAGACGATCATTGCCGTGAAGCTCAAATGATGACATTTGTTTTAAACTTGATTCTAGTTGTTTGAGTAGCACTGGTAATTAATCCATTCAATCCTGAAAAGAATTTTAGTCGATTAATGTGTTATAATATTCGATATATTTCGTTAACAATATGCGATACCAATGATCCGGGTGTTGATGTCCACACCCATACCTCAAGTGAACAATAAAACGGATTTCTAATAGATAGAAATTGAATATGATGTCGTTGAAGAAAATAAGTTTTTTTTTGGCAGTTTTCGTCAGCTAGCTCTTCTATTTCAGAAAAAATCATGTATCTCAACGTCAGCCCCTTTCAAATTTGATGTGTCCCCATTTGAAATTAGGATAATGGCAACCTTGTATTGGCTGTCGATTTTGCTAAATGCAAACCATGGAAAAATAAGATTGTCATTTTTTCGATAAAAAAAGAAAGTCAAAACGATAATAATAAACATTAATGATGTTCTTATGATTGAAAACTATGCAACAGATAGTGATTAATCTTCTATGACAATAATCGTTTGACACTTAAAAATATATGAAATTTGCTTACTTATTACGATGTCATAATGATTAGAGTTGTTGACTATTTTCTATTGACGCATTTCTTTTAAATAAAATCTAGGTAATAGAGACGTATAGGTCTTGTATACAAAAATAATATGTGCGAACGACATAATTAACAAAATAAAAGCAACACTGATAATCGACAAATAATTATTAAAACTAAAAAAGACACCTAAAACTAATATTGCATAAAGGTAAAGTGTCACAATATATAAACAAGCAAATTCTTTGTCATTGAATATAGTCATTACTTTTTTTTTTATCACATAGAGATGATGATCGTGGATCTTAATAAAACAAAAGAAACTATTAAAATTGCCTGTAAACAATATATGTTTCCAGTTGTATTGATTTCATTTCAATGTGCTTTTATTGTATTATATGCTGTTTATGCCGAATATGGATTAGAACAAATCACAATTAAAAATTCTATAAGTCTTTGACTCTCATACTCATACCCACTACACTTCACATCCACACTCACACTCAATAAATATTAGTCAAGAAAAGCATAAAACCATGTCTAGAAAATGATGTCAATCAGGTGGTCAGTATTACTTTAGTTTGAAAAACATATACTTTGGTAGCTTTCAAAAAGCATCATTGATTAGTATATAAAGATTTATTATAACATAAATCCCTGAATCTCTGTCAGTCAACATGCCACTGAGCAGAACTAAATTTCTTGATAACATACCGCCGACTGCCAACGAAGCAACCAATGAAACACAGTGGTCAAGTTTTTCAATAAGCTTTCTCTCATAGTAATCCATTCAGAATTTAATGATTTATCCAATGACATGAACCTAAAAATAGAAGCAATGTTGTTGTACAAAGTTATTAGAAAGATACTTCACGACATCGACGACGGTTTAGATGATGATAAACTAAGAACAATATTTCTATCCCATATTACTTTAAATATCATTAAATTGATTTGAAATTATTACAAAACGACCCAGCAAAATGTGGGTGTGGGTGTGTGTATTGTCTTCACACGCAGTATACTCACGTCCACACCCACACTCACACTCTCAAGAACATTACCGATACTGGAACTTCAACCTAGGCAGAGAGATTGAAGGTCTCTTATCCTACCATTAGACTATAACGGTGTGATCAAGCCGAAAGTGGACTATATTCGAATTCCACAATATCAGCTCATCATTGACTTTCTTCTTTTTGTCTGAAATTAGAAAAATCTATTATGGAGATCGATTATCATGTATCTGTTCATGTTCAAAAATAAGATTATACAATTAAAATAGGTGTTATTTAAGTATTATAATGATATTTTGCTTTATATTAAAGATTAGGATATGTGAGTTGATACAGGTAATAGAACAACAATCTACAATTACTATTCAACAGCATTTATAAAAGCCACTTCGGCTTAAAGAAGTTTTATGAATTGAAACATGATCACAAAATAGAATAATAATTAATCCCAAACTTTGATATTCAACTGTGAAAACGTCTTACTTTATTTCATTGCATAAATTGGACCTAATTCTATTCGGAACACATTCTGTTCAATTTATGACACTGATTCAAGTATAATTCAAACATAATGAGTCTATTAATATTGTTTATACGAACAGTTGCTTCAAGACATTATAGGATATACTATCTCTATGTTGTTCATTTTATTCTTATAGTCGAACATGGATAATAGAAATATGATTGAGCATAGTAAATGCGAAGACTCGACTATAGCAAGAGATCTGGTGGGTTGATATTTGATCTATCTATCTATGTCTAAGTGTTTGTTTTCTTTCATTAGTGTTGATTTGCAAGTAATACTTTAATCTTCATCATGATTACTTGTAGCCACTATATTATCAATATTTGAACTGTCCTCATGCTTTGCATAACCAATAAGATTGGAGAAATCGAAAAATGGGCTAAACCAAGAGAAAAAAAGACGAAAGACGTTATTAACAAATTGTAAACCACTACCAAGATCATATATTCCTCTGAAAAATGCAGCAAATGAACTAGAATTTCTTTTCAAAACTAAAATTTTAAGATTCACAGATTTTCGTGAAGTTATATTGAAATAAATTCTAATAGAAAAATGGAACTAGAGGGTAGAGGTGTGGATGTGGTTCTTTTCGTTATTCATACCCACATTCTCGTCATACGAAAGATTTTTATCATTCATATCGAAAAGAACAACATAATATTTATATATCTACCAGTCACTATTCTAAATGTTGTCCAATCAATCAATGACTACCAAAATATGCAACGAAGTTCATGCTTTCTCGCTATATATGATACATAAATAAAAAACAAACTATAGAGAAATGAACAGAAAAACAAAAACTAAAGAGGAAAATTCTATTGGTCCCCACTATGAGAAATAAAAAAAAACAATATGTACAGATAGAAAAATAAATAAGAAAACAAATTACATCCACACATACACCATAGGATTAATTTGGTGAAATGAACGGACAATATATTTTATCGCATTTTAAGTTAAACGAATCGATTGACAGATTTTACTCAAAATAACTATGATGAATTCGACTTATTTCACGTAAAATTGACATCTGCACGGGAAATCCACGCGAATTGCAAGTCACATCTTTCCACGCGACCATACTCTACAAATAAAAATGGTCTCTAGACAACCATCAAGAGAAAGAAAAATTGTGGATCATACATCGTTTCGCAAACGAGGAAATGACATGTTAGAACCATAGTGAAAATTCCATATTTCTGCTTCGACCCAAGCATTATCTGTATTGCGAGCATCATCAATGTAACCTGAAACGATATAGAATGGATTAAAATCGAACAAAATAGAAAAAAGAAATTCACCTCTATAGACCATATGTGCTTCGAAGCCATTCTGTTGATCATCATCATTATTATCCGAACGAGCAAATGATTTAAAGTACTGACAATGAATTGACTTATATTTGAGGAAGAAATGAAAAAAATTACTCTTACCTCGATCATGTCTTGTTCTTGTAAAGATAAACTATATTCAGAAGCGTCATCTTGAAAGGTAAGTTGATTAAAAGTACGGCACACCACACTATATAGTGATTCAACACCCAAAATTTTACTCTACACATACAAATATCAATAGAAGCTGTTCAATGATCACTGTCGATACTCACGCCAGGTAATTGCCAATCGTTGGTTATTTTATCTTTGAATACCATTGCTTCAAGAATTCGTTGTCCATCAACAAGAGTACATTGATCACGATGTTTTTTCCATCGAGTAATAATGGCTATTGTGGATTTATTTGGACCCCATCGAATGAGAGCACCACGACCACGTACTCCAGTACGACCTATTGGATTTCTACATCAAGTCAAATTAACATTTTAACGTTGGATAGATAAGGTGAGAAAAAAAATATGTATAGATGAACGTACAAAGGTAGAAACAATTGAGTATCGAGTCGATACGTAACTGATGTTTCCTCGTCTGGATTTGCCACCCAAGTTGTCCGATCGATCACCATCTATATAAATTTATCATTCCATTATATGATATTCATTCTCTAAGAAGAAAACAACCTTTTTCCCATCGGGTAATTGTAATTCAACAACTTGATTCCATTTGTACTCGGATGCTGGAATTATAAAATCGTTTGAACTGAGTGACATCAGTGACGGTTCAATTATTCTAAAACGAGCTGATTAATTCCTAAGTATTATGAATATAACATACGTATCGAGAGCCGGTTGTAATTCATCTCCCATCGAGCTCAATCTCAACCTAATCAAATACAGTAGTGTACAAAAAAACATACACAGTAACACTCACAAATTAGGTTCAACAAATGGGCGTTCATCGTCTTGAAAGCAAATGTGTTCTTTTGGTAATGTAATCAATGTAGGATCATAGAGATCGAATTGACGCTAAAAATGCAGTAGATATTGACAAATTGAAAATAGTTAATAGAAAACTACAGTTTACCGTCCATGGAATGTATTTTTCAGTAACAGAAAATCGAGCTTCATTAGTATAGACATAAGGTGATTCACGTGATAGAACATGAGAATATTTTTGACTTTTAGGTAATGGTTTATCTTTCTGATATATTGTCGCATGAAGTTTTTCAAGTAATATATGTGAATCGATCACCATTTTTTCTAAGGAAAAAATACGATCATTAATCTGTCGTAAAGATTTTCGTACAGCATCCATATCTTGTTTTCCATCGGTCACACTAAAATACAGAAAGATATTAAATCTGATAATGACGCGCATTTTCATTCGATCACCTCTTCGAAAGATTTTCAAGTCTTTCTTGAACTTTTTCGGTTTCTACTGTTTTAGCAAAGAATTCGTTCGCTTTATATTCCCAATAGAAACTAGTTTCATTATCTACCCAATGAAGTTCTGCGTTTTGCTAGAATCAAAACAGAAAAACAAAATAAAATTATTGATTAACTACCTAGAAAAACAGACTAAATATATAGCAACAAGTAATTATTGTCTAGAAAAACAAGGACGGATAAGATCGTTTTCTCTCCTTATGGCTACTCACTATGGTTTCTCTCCGTACGCAAACAAGAAAAATTGTTTTGATCAACACTCGTAATGGATACGGGTGTCGATAGACAAATCGATTGTGATATGTTGGAAAACTGACGATCGGACTATCATCAGAGGATATCTTTCATTTGATTTTAACACAAGAAATCGAAATGGATTTTTTTTTCTGGGGAAGGTGAGAAAATGATCTTATTTGCCCTCGTCGTTTGAAAACAAGTCATTGACTATGATAGATCTTATATGTATACAAAGTAGAGATATCGCTTGGAACATTCACTAATAGTTACATCATTATTAACTGAAAACAATACGAATAGAAAGGAAATAGAGAGATCTGCTCTCGAAAGCTATGTAATTACATTCTTCGTCTTCTCGTGATTGATCATTTGTCGACATGGTTTACAATTGAGTAATCGTCCAACTAACGAACGATTTTCAATCGATACCGATGATGAATCATCAATTAAGTCGTCTGTATTCAAATTGACATTATTCGATGTATTCGACATATCAACAGCAAGAGGCGTTGCTGAACTTGTACCATAGCCAGAATCTCCTCCTACATTGTGTGATGACAATTGTAACCGTGCTTGTTGAGTACTTTTCTTATCTAAATATTCCTTCCACTTGAACATACATTGACCAGCTTTGGAAATTAACATACCTAGCAATCAACAAAAACAAACATCAATATAATATCTAGATACAAAAAAAAGCAGGAAAAGAAATCTTATTACCAATGTATGAGATAACAATTAATGGAGGTGGTAGACGAGGTCGTTTTGCATATTCTATCATAATTTCATATCGATTATACATCCAAATTTTCTCCGATTGACTCTGTATTCGTGCTCCTGTCAAACTAATCGAAAAGAAAATGAAAAGTGAAACATGTAATTCTTGATTTAATATGCTAATACAAATATATAATACCTGAACATGGCTGTCAAGAGAGAAATGAGAAATCGTTTGGCCAAGAAAAAATACTGAATAAGAAGAAACCATGCGATCCATGATGTTTGATTACATTCAGGTGATGATATTCCATAGCGATTGTATGAAGAGAGACGATCATCTGCAAAAAAGAACGATAAACAAATATTTAATTTTTATTACAGAAAATTTTTTCATTGTGTTTTCAAAATTTACATTTAAACGACGGACCATGAGACAATCTTAAACAGGCATATTTACGGTCGATGTCACTCGTTACATTGATAGAACACGATTGATGTGGATTTTTTAAGTCGGCCATGTCAGTAGTGAACAATGCCATGAGACCACGAAATACAAATGCTTTGGTGAACAAATCCAAGCCAAGTGGATAATGAGGATAGAGAACAGCTGTAATAGCTACACCTGATGAGATCATAAAGATAACGAACAATTGTAAAAATGTAAAAAAATCATTCATAATCTAAATATGGTTTAATAGAACAGTTTGAAAAGACTCAAAAAAAAGTAAAAATAACTAACCATGGATCGAAGTCGAATCATCATCGGGCCAAGTGTAGAACTAACCGGAAAGTAGACGAACAATATTCGATAGTAATAATAAATCAGTCCGATGCCCATAATTGCCTTAGCTGTCAAAATTCGACAAGCTAAAAGAGAGAAAAGAGAAGAACGAACGACGTAATATTTCAAATTGAGTACATATCTATTATTATTCTTACTCCCAAAATTCCACAAGCCAAGGATACGAAAACTGAGATATAGAGCAAGAAATATGATCTGTACAATGACATCGGGTATATCTCGTTGTAAGGGTAATCTATTTTGTGACTATAATAATAACAATTCTACTACGTAGATGTGATGATGATGATAATTGTATATGCGCTAAACTTACATAAAACTTTACGTAAGCAACACGAGTATTTTCGAATGCAATTGATGCTGTCCACAACCAAACGAAACAATCAAGCCATAAATTCCCACATGAGGGCCACATCACTGCTAATGTGAAAAATGATAAATAGACTAGATAAGCAACGAAATTCATATAAAATTTTGTTATCGGTGCATTCCACAATGTTTTGATTTGTTGAATGGTATTCTTTAATTTATCATTTCGACGAAAACAGGACATTGGTCGTCGAAAAAGACTATTCTATATGTATATACAGACAAAAGAATAGTAGAATAGAAGACAATCATCAAGTGAACAGAACATACTCCATTGCGTACTGAGGCTTCACTTGCATATGTTTCCAATTTCTTTCCCTCTATGAATAAGAAAACAGGTAATAGATTAAACGTCTGGAGACAATAAAAATGTATTGTCAATTATTGTCTCAATGTTGTCTGTAGACTTTTTCTTTTTACTTTGCATATCGTTTGCTTTTTCCGATGTTGGTGGACTTTGATCGATCGAAGAAAAACTAACCCAAAATTGCATCGGAAATATGAGACAAGCACTGATTATAATCTACATATTTTATATAGAAAAATAAAGAATTTGAACGTTTGAAGGCATCGTTTCCTTCTACTTACTTTAAGATAATCAGGACATTTAAAAAGACCCCAGGAAAGTTCACGCACAGTGATTTCATCGTAGAATCGTTGAGTAACTAATTTTTGATAAGCAGGATGAATCATAAATTCTCTATTGTCAGCTCTGTACGCTAGTTCAAAAGTAGTCATATGATTCCAATCCTAGAATATTTCAAAAAAGAGAGTATCTCTACTAAATCATTCGTTCTTAGCATATGAATTTATTTTTTTTTACTGAATTTTTGTCATCGAGCATTGCAAGTGTACGTTCCTGGTCTTCGTTAAAGGATTTTTCGAGTACACCCACAGCATAATCTGAAAATTCTCTATAACAAAATTGACGATAATTATTGCCTGAAAAGAAAACAGAGAAATAAAAAATAGGCTTACTTGGCCTGTTTTTCGATTCGTAATCGTTGAGTGGGATCATGGCAATAGATTGCCAATTTTTTAAACATCATATAACAAATCAATGCCATTGGAATCGGTTCTAATGAATGTTTCCAGAAAATCTTGGCCAACTGATGTCGATTCATGAGTACGGCATAGATAATCAAATAACGAATAGCCTAATGAAAACAAAAAACGTCGTGCCCGATAGGAGGAAAATCTTGAAACTCACCTTTTTCTCTGCTTTTAGTCGATGTTGTTGAATGTCTTTGTCTGTTTTGTCACAAAAATAGATGCCCACAGCATTACAATCCATTTCATATGAACGAAAAAAGCCACTAATACCAGTGAGACGCTTCATAATAATATTGAGATGATGATCAATAAAATTTTGTGGTATTTCGTCGTCATCCTAGGAAAGTACAATAGATGGACATCAAAGTTTAGATATAAAAGAAAAGGAAAATAATTATCATTTACTCCAGCTATGCCAAGAATGCCTTTCCATGATGTTTGTTTTAGAAATTTACGATCTTTCGCGTTCTTAAAAAGATTAAACAATTCGTCCGATGTTAAATATCGATGTGGAATAAATTCATTATCAAGAAAAATATCGACAAATGTTTCGAGATTTTTTCCAAGAACAGCCTTAGCAAAAAAATCATATTGTATAGAATACTTCGTATCATTATCACGTTGAAAAACTTTCGATAGAGCCAAATCGGGCAAATTCCAATCAAGTATTAAAGTAAGATTGTGTCTCAATTGCGCATAAACTCTATTTCCAGTTACAACTCTTTGAGCTAAAAAAATACAAATATAGTTGAAGTGTCAGTAAGATATAGATTTCCAATTCTCACATTCTATAAGAGCGAATAAAATAAATTTGCGAAAATCATTGAGTGACTCTATCGAGTTTTTTACATCGACAAATGTCAAAAATTTTCGTCTTCCTTGATCGGCTTTTTTGACAATTGCAATGATATTATCACGGATTTCGTTTCGTCTTACATGATTATCTATCAATACTGGATATTCGTTGAGTAAACGTTGAGTTAGTTCAACTTTTAGATAACTATCCTCAAATTCTTTATCGCTTCTAAATGTAAAAAAAAGAAAAAAAATTCTGATTGAAATCTGGAAAAGTTAACTATGAATACTTGGCATGAAATTCTTCATAGGCAAAAGCGATGATATCAGCAACTGATCCGGTTCCTTTGAAAATAACCACAGGAATTTCTTCGTGAATTTTTGTATGCAAAAGTTTAATTGTTCCTGGTGTGCCTCGTACAAAAGTACAAACCATCGGAAAACCACCTTCATTCCATCCATTACTTTCATGAGCTGAGGACGGTGACGTTGTTGCTGCTCCATCTAAATAAATATATATATATATATATATATATATATAGGTCGCACTGGTATTGGCTTTGTACCTGTTATTGAAGAAAACAGATTGGGAGATACTGTCGCTTGTTGTTGCAGTGCTTCTTGATGTAAACTATTTTCGAAGCGTTCTCGAAATCTATTTGTAGCACTATCAGCTGAATCAGCTAATTTTTCGAATTGTCTTTCATTACTATCTGCAGCAGCTGAGTTTTGTCCAACATTCATTGAAGCACTACCAATTGCTTTTTCACGAATAATAATAAAATGAGTGTGATCACTATTCAGTGAGAGATTACCACGTTTTCGTGTTGGCACTTTCACTTCCTATCATTAGGTAAATTTTACTCAAGTGAGAAATAGAGTTGATTTTTTAAATACCATTTTTGATTTATTTATACCCGGTCTCAGATCAATAGCATCTATGATAACGTCATCACAAACGATGCCAATTAAAATAAGTCTTTTTCGTTTTTTCGGCTCCCGACCCAGTTGGGTGTCCCATATATCATAAGCTCGTCTTAATGCCTATTTTATAGATATTATATATATATCAATAAAATTGCACATAGCTATTATTTACGATCTCTTCTCGAAATGCCGACCCAATAAGTTGTGGAACACCTATATCAATACCGTTCGTTATGAACCAAACTTCAGATGCATTTACCATCTGAAAAAAAACAGTTCATATACTTTTCAGATCAAGTATATATAAAACATAGTATACATTTTTGATACCACGCTTAAGTGCTTCAATTGTTTTTGTATTTTTTAATGGTTTATAATTGGTGACATTGCTAAGAACAGGTATGACAATGTTGGCTGTTTGCATGTGCCACTCATTAATCATGAATCGACGAATGTCACCCAATGGAATGTTACCATCCACATAAAGAAACGGTCGAGGCTTCAAAATACAAAAAAAAAATATTCTAATTAGTTGATAAATTAGTAGAAACCCCAATTTTCGTTCTCATTTGTAATATAATAAATTAGCTTTATACCCGAACAAAGAATGACGATCTAGTATCTGTAGATATTGAAAAAAGTGCAATACCTCCAAGCGAATAAATTTAGCATAAAGACTTACATTATTGATATAACTACTGGGACAATCTTCGAATTCGAACGTGCCCCAACAGGCACCATATTGTTGTTGAATATATGCGTTATAAACGACTGGATTTGATGTGGAAAATGTACGATAGATGGTATCGTTCGATTTTGTTTCGCCGATAGGATCATCATTTGTATTTATTAAACTCTGTTGCGTCGTCGACACAAACATCTACAATAAAAAGTAAAGTTGACAATCACTTAATTATTCTAAGCTTATACATCGTCAATATTCGTATTAAATCTTTCCAAATGTTAGTAACAAATAATCTAGGTACAAATTCTCTATATTCGAATTTTTTTCTCTATCTATTCATTTTTACTTGTTATTTTTGTGTTACTTGTCTGTGGTTATCATGCTTCGTTGCATTTTAATCGATAGGAGAGACAGGAAGAGAGAACGCGAGAAAAACTGTTAAGTTATTATCATGAACAATATAGAGCCGTGTTAAAAAAATGAATAAATCAGATTTTCGTCAATCAGAATGCAACAAACTCTTGATAGAATTTCAGTTTTCTGAAGATTTTTAAAATATAAAATAAGCGAATATTTGATAACTGGTGTCGTTTTAGAAATTTTTCAAGAATCAATAGAATACAAATAATTGGAGCATCGAGAATTTCCTGTCACTTGAAAGAAGAAAACACAGAATTTATGTGAAGGAATCGATAGAGACAAGCTGTCATTAGGTATTTAGAATAAACTGTCCATGACAATTCTCGTACCATTGACTTTTTAAAATACTTTTAAAGCAACGAATTAGATCTCATAGATGTATAATTGGGACAACTTTGTCAATAACGGTACGCAATACAAGCAATTCTGCGAAACAGTCAAGTTCTCTAAATGAAATACACAGTTCAGTTCTTAAAATTTTCTCATTTTTTTTCTCCGTGGTTCAGAAGAAAAGTAGCAATATTCATGTTGTTTTATGTTTTAAAATCGTATATTCTCAAGATATAAATTTTTATTTTTCTTTCCTTTCTTATAACATTCATCACTATGAAAAGCTCTTTAATACTCTTATTCGATTAAACAAAATAACAATGTGTTTTATCGATAAGATCTCTAACTGTATGAACGAATGATGACAAACACTTTTTTTTCTAATTCGACATATAAGCTGATTGAATGTATCTGTAGAAAAAAGTAATCGCTTGAAAACATCTAATATCTCCTGAGTAACTATCTCAATTTTCAATGAATACAATAAAGAGGGGTTCCATGCGATCATCGAGAATCATGCCTGATACCGATGTATTGGTCAATTTCATCTAGTTTAAGATTTCGCTCTGTGCTGTAAAAAACTAGAATTGTCATGAATTTCACTGTGGTTAACAATCAATGTTTTCATCCATTTATGAAGATCTTTGACCGAAGACTAGAGACATCTTAGGACATTGAAAAAAAAATGTTCAAAACTCCTGAACAAAGCAAATTCGTACGTTTTTGGTTAGATCTTATGTTGCAGAGAACACACTTTCGGCTATATACCTATAAAAAAAGGAAGCATCCTTTGCTCAACTTTTTCAGAAATCCTCGGTAACAATTGGGTTCAGAGTATATTTTCAAAAATCAATTTTGCTTAGACAAAGCATGTCAATGTATCTGCCTTCGATTATTGAAAATCGCTAATCTCTATGTCTTATTATTATTGAGTTATTTGAAAAAAAAGCTACATAACGTATATTTTGGTGTCTATAATAGGATATAAAAATAATAGAATCTTGCTTTCTTAGATTTTCAAATCATAATGATACTAGAATATCCATCGAATATGATTTTCGTATTGTTTGCCCTCTATTCAACTTCATGATTGTTCATTTGTATACCAGTTGTAACTACACCGATGATCATCAAGGAAAGCATAAGACCGATACCACCATTAATAATAATAGCCAATATGCGAGCGAGCTTTCTTAATCGTTTCTCTCGATATGTTCTCATTCCTTCCGTATGTAGGCCAGTAACGCCTCCTTTTAAAAATTCCCAGACGGCTGTTCCATAAGGTACAGGTTGTGAATTAAAATAATAAAGGATATTGTGTAGCGCCAACGGTTCTTCGCCATAATGATCGAAGACAAGTGCATCGGTCGGTTTAACATGACTTGTATTGTATGTCTTGCAATGTATTTTATCAGAAGCCAAAGCAAAACTTTGAATAGCACAAAAATGTACTTCTTGATCAATATTTTGAATTTCTTGGTATGCACGTTTCAGTTTATGTTTCATCTCTAGATACAAATACGGCTTAGATACAGTATCATTGCTCAGCCACATCCTGGGATCCATCAGTCGAATACGAAGTAAATTTCGACGAACAATTAACCAATATGAATCTTTTTTCAGCGAACGAGCAGAAAATGGTGCTTGAAATTTGTAATCATTATGACGTTCATGATTTGATGCTGTAGGTGGTCTTGAACGACTAGAAGCATGTATTGATTGTACTTCTTCGCTTTGACGATCAGCAGCATCCCATGGACTGATGACCAGATGAATTTCATGGTCTTCTTTCGGGATATGTAAGATACGAGCGCGAGCCGACTGAGCCATCGATTTTTCGATGAATAACGCGTTCACCACCTACTAATGACAATAAATATCGACATAGAATATCAGTAATTTACATTATTCTTGTACCAACAAATTAAGTGAAGTTACATGCGTATATAAAACATGAAGCACGAGAATAATGTGATGTAAAGTAAAAAAAAAATCGAAAGAAAACGACAGAAACAAGTTCTACCCACTTGCTATATCGAACAGATGTTCCTATATTTGCGGTCGAGTTTCATAAATACATCATTGACAGTATTTCTGTTTGCTTTCTGAAGAAGTGAAATACATCACGATACTGAGTCAAAGGCAACCCTCGAAAAATGACGTCTTCAAGAAGAAAAAGATGCCACGCTTTTGTACCATGAAAACGATAAACGAGATAACATGGTATAACGACGACGTTTTTATCATGTTCATGGTAAAAAAAAATTGATATTTTTTCTGGAAAACGTCGATTTTTTACCATGTAACTGAGCGAGATATGTAAGGAAAGACTCGTATGGGCTATTGAGATTTGTGAGATATTTATACAAGCAGGAAAAAAGGGCTTCTTCTCCAATATCTTTTATAGTTCCCTATACTGAAACCATTATGAATTTGTTTGAGCCTCATCTGCGGTCATTCTTGCGCGTTTCTCATTTGATTTTTTGACGTGAACCATCCTATTTCATCTCGGAAGCAATGCCATTTGATTTTGGTGAGAATAAAGCCACAAATTTAATGATATTCCTATTACTATTATTAACGATCGCAAGTTTTAGTCCGTTCGTTAATCTGATGAATGGTATTGTAAGGTGCAGACAATTCAAACTTTCAGTAAACATTTTTTTTCGCGTTTTTTTACATCATTTGATAGAGCTTGAGCTGCTGATCACGAAAAACTACTTTTTAGCCTTAGCAAATACTTTCTTCCAGTCGAAAAATACGAGATACTCGAAAGGTGTCTGTTAGCCTGTCTGTAAAGCTGAGAGAGAGAGAGAATTGAGAGTGAGTGTGTGTATCGTAGACTTAATTTTTTAAGACCAAAAAATCACGTTTGAACAATAAAAAATAATTCCAAAAAAAAACGAAGAAGAAGAATAGTGTATATATAGGAGAAAAAAAAGAAGGAAAAAATGTGATCTATGATCACATTTTTTACACAACGCATCATGCATCATGAATCAAGAAGAAAAGGAAAAATGTGAGCGAGAATCACATTTTTAACAAAACGCGCACAAAGAAAGTGATGACTTGAGTCATCGCTAATAGTGTCCTTTCTCGAAATGCGCCAAATCTTTTACTTCGCTCTTTTCTCCAGCTTCTGAAAATGTTTGTTTTCAGAAGCTGGAAAAAAGAGCGAAGCCGAAAATTTAGCACATTTTGAAAAAGATGTGTTTTTTCGAAAAAACGACTTCTCCCGAGTATTTCGAACGTTTCGACCGGAAAGAAGTACTTGTTGAGACTAAAAAGTAGTTTTTCGTGATCAGCAGCTCAGGCTCTATCAAACGATGTAAGAAAAGGCATAAAAAAGTTTTTACTGAAAATTTGCATTGTTGGCACCTTACATGTTACACAGATAGACGTTTTAGAGTAGTCTAGATAGAATATACATATTTTTAGATTAGTGTAGTTTGTCATCGTTCATCGCATATTTGCTTTATAAAGCCAATGCCGAAAAGAAACTTAAATTTGTAAATTATCGTTTATAACTTATTCAAAAAATTTTAGAAACTTATAGTGTTCCAAAATCTATAATAAGTCGTCCTGCATTAACTTATCAATCAACTAGATATACTGCTAGACACTTTCCATCTCTTGTACCTCACACGACAAATAGAAAAACTTCAAAAAACTTTTGTTGACTGATCTACGCTATGTAATTACGTAATTATTGCAATACAGGTTTTTATGTCGTTAATTCTTTTGAGAACTATTATACTTTATTACATTAACTTTTCTTCTCGTATGTTATTGTATTGTTGCTTGTTATACTTCTTGGATGTATGGTTTGTTTCTGTTGTTTCAAAATAAACGTCGTGTATCTTTAGCATTAAGTGTGGATGACAAAACTATGAATGATAGTTTTCAACTATAATTGATTTTGTAAATGAAAATCCAACTTTTTTTTAAAAAAGAAGTCAGTCTTTAAAGAATTAAGTTGGAAACTAACCGTACTTACGTATTGAGTGATACTGGAATGTGCGAGTCTGTTTTGTATATAGGCAACCGATTTCGTTTCGTATTTATCGTTGGCAAAATTACTTGACTTTTTTCCACATAAATGTGTCTATGTGAATTAATGAAGCATGACGTTTGTATCAAGCAGGCAATTTTTTTTTCATCACTGTGCTCATCATCACATGTATTTCGTTGTCTACGATATTCTTTTTTTTCTTTTTTGCTTTTCTGCGCACTTCATATGGATACGATGAGAAAATAATAATTAATATTTGCATATGCCAGTGCATTGCAATAAAACGTCGAAGTTTATCTCGGATAAGTCAACGAAACAGTAATGTTTTTAGTTTCATATAAGATCCTTGCGTTAAAAAAATGGAAAAAAGTGTACTGAAACAGTGGTTTTCAAATTATTCATTAAAAAAATTTATAAATTTGTTTGTTTCGAA